ACCTGTCTCACGAACGCTGCGTACTTTCAAAAACGCGTTTTTCTCGAAATCATATTTTCCGATCTAACTTAAAGCCCCGGGCTTGATCTGTCCATCCGATTTATTTTATCTAAAAACTATTTGAAAGTACGAGTATATAATTTTTTGTACGTGTTGAATCTAAGATTAGCATTAATAATTAAATATTTACATTTTTTTTACGTAATTAAAGTAAAAAAAGGTTGCAAAGAATTTCACTTTTTACTTGCAATAAATTTTTCGTTAAAATTGCTTTAATGGTGGTCGAGGACGTAGAAGATTTCATGATCTTATCCATATATCAGTCCAGGGCAAGAGGCTGTGGACTTCAAGTTGACGGACGGAGAGCGTAATTTTTTAGCTGTCATTTTGAATTTCGACTATTTTTTTGCCGTTTCTCTAATAATAAACAAATTGAATAGTCAAAACCGGACGCTCGTAGGCCATTCACTTTTCCCACAAGAAAAAAAAACTACAAACTTTGCCCGAATTTCGCCCAATTTTTATTTTTTTTATTATATTTATATTTTATTAATTTTTATTTCTTTTTTTATTTTTTGTCCAAAAGCGCTGTCAATATTTATATGTTCCAATACCATTTTTTACTTCATACCGTTTTCTATGCTTCGTTTAGTGTACTAAACTAACGTTGATAAATATTTTTGTTTTTATATATTTTTATTTTCTGTGGTGTCTGATAGAGCGCGGTGAGATATAATGCTTTTCCTTATCTTTTTCTCTGTTTCTGAAACATGGGTTTTATTTGAAAATTAACAAATTCATAACAGATTTAAAAATTTTCATACACACATATATATTACTGAAACGGTTTATTTTCTTATACCAAGAAATTTGTACATGTTTTCAAATTTTTTTCTGGCAAATTAATTCTATAAAAAGGATCTTTTGAAGATATTGTTAAGCCTATCTTACAAAGGTCTTAAATATTTTGTTGCAAGAGGAATTTTATGTACCAAATTGCTTTCTGGAAGATTTGGCCATCTCACCTTCAACTGAAAATGATCCCATAAGCTTCAGAGAGAAAGTTTCGGAATGACACCTTTCAACTGAACCGCAGAAAGAAAACTCGCTGATTTAGCAACAAGTAATCATTCATAAATAAAAATTTAACAGACAATATGCACTTGACACAATATGGCTCCGGTTGACTTTTTTCTCATTTCAAAACTTATGTACCACTTTTCATGCGTATGAGGCTCAAGAAGGACGAGAATTGCGGCGAGGATGGAAGTAGATTACAGAAACACATCAAAAGTTTTCCGATGATTAGATTATCCGTTGGCCTGAGTATATTACTTCGCAAAAGGCCCTACATTTCTGACAAATAGCCAACATTCTATTCAAACGCGCAGAAACTTCCGATTTTCCCAATTCAAAACTATCTCGTCTTTCCATTGTTTTGTTGTTTGAAACTTGATTCATACGGCTATTTCTCGTTAACTCATGTGGCTCCTTATGCTGCAACTACCCATTTTACTTACCAGCCGTCCATAACTGGCGACATCAAGGCAAGTTACATACACGAGCTTTCGACGCTGCTGAGAGCGGCGAAATGTTGCCAGCTGCCAGTGTGTTTGCACACCTTTCAACAAATTCATAATTTTCGTCAATGAATTTCATAATTTATATGCTTGAATATAAACGCAAGACAAATATACATGATCCATATGGTAACAAAGGATTAGTTACGCATTTAGTTTTCATTTCTTATGAAAAAAACTACGCATTTTCTTCGATTATTTAATGTTTCTTTAAGAAAGACTATACTGGCAGCCTTGTATAGCAACGAGAAATGAGTGCAGCCGGTTATACGGAAAAAATCACATCGCCGTTGGTTTTTGCGGGACAACCGTCACTAACGAAATGGGTAAGCGGTGACAAATTTGTGTTTACATTGCGCCCTCATAAGATAGGTTGCTATGGACGGCTGGTACGTGAGTTGGGTAGTAGCAGCATTACATCTTGCTTCTGCGTGTATACATTGTTTTTCAAACTGTTTTTGTGCAATGTTTAGTTTTTGGTCAATTTAAATTTATATATATATATTCATACGACTGTTAGACTCGACGATTTTCACTATTTTATCAATATTTTCGACAATTGGTCTTCCACTTCGAGAAGCATCTTTTATACCAAAACTATCGGAGCGAAATCGACAGAATCGAAATAGTGTATGATTGACTGTAATTGTAACAGTATCAGCACCATAAACACTTTGTACGCTCACAGCTGACTGTGTCGCGATTCTTCATTTATCGAAAAAAAATTATAGAATAAAGTGTAAATCCTCTTTGCTGGTTTTCATCTTTGTCATGCGCTCAAACACTGTAGAGTTAAGTGATTACCATTTCTCAGGTTGTCTTTTGTAGTTCTAAATATCATCTTTCTAGCGCCATCTAGCGCAATTTAATCGGACTTGTAGAGCGCGAGGTACAGATCACTAAAGTCGTCTATTGTAAAGTTAATGGAAAATTGATGAAATAAGTTCGTTTTATAACTCGATGGAATTTAAAATTATTTTATTTTAACCCTCCGTCCGACACCACACTTTATATACTTTCGTCCGACACCTGGGGTCTGGCCATACCCCTATATATTTGTATAGGTTTATATGGGAAAAAGTACTATATGGAGAGGCTCATATGTATTTTTCAGGTATATATTATTCGTTCCTTACCTTTCTATATCTTCGGACACATGTTTAGCTACAATTCTGTGCAAAAAAAAAAAAACAACAAAAATATTTGGAATGGAAAAAAACAAGCCATTTGCTTACCTTTTTTTATGCTTTATTTTTGAGTCATTTCAATACTGTTTGGACAAATGTATACGGATTTGAATGGATTTTCTTATGAAATTTGATCTAACTAGCATCGGTATATGGTACGCGAGCAAAACTTGTATAATTGGTGTTCGAATGATGTACACAAACTGGATTTGAGCCAATGCAAGGAATCGTCTACATGACATAGCAGCACGAAAGATGAGCAAGGCATCTGAACGCCATAAAAGTGCTGACTCTTGCATATTATTGTTTGTAACACCAGCAGCAAAAAGTATACCAATAAATGCATCAAGCTCTGTACTAGTCAAAGCAACCCAAACTCTTGGCTTTGAATCTGGATTTTCATCATTCCATTTTTGAGTAGCAATTTTTGCATTTCGATTTGTTTCGGTAATAATAATGAATGAAATATTCGGTGTTAAAAAACTTTTGAATGCCTCAATCGGAACCGATGTTGAAAGTTTTGGACAAGGTCTGAATCGCATAATATTATGCTGGCGCGTACGGCTTGGGGTCTACTCCTTTTTCCATTTTCTGCCATCTTTACCAAAGAAACTTTCGGCCGTAGCTTGTAGCTTCACATTGAATAACTGGAGCGGTTGCATGTTGCTCTTCGTCTTCAATTTCCTCATCACTGTCCAGTATTTCGTTCGGTTCAATAACCAATTCGTTTTTAACATCTGATGCGTCACCATCCAGCACATAATCTAAATCTCTACTATCATCACCAACGTCGTAGTCGTTCAATGCAACATTTTCTTAAACATTTTCCGAATTTCGATTGAAATCAATCGAGAATAAAAAACGGTACTGAGACTTTTAATTCGCAAACGAGTATTATAAATGAATTCAATCTCTTTACTCATTATGAATAATACAACACGTAATATAAAATATTTGGCGCGCAAAATGTATTGTACGGAGCAATATTCTGTTCTGTTCACTGTTCACGCATCAACTGACGCTCAAAATAGAATAGAGAGAAAAGAAAACCACACAATAAAAGAAAAAATATAACTAACGCATACACATATACAGACATATACGTCATTTTTCTGGCCAGGTGTCGGACCGAAGGTGTATTTTTTTAAAATCCTTTTTCGTCCTTTTTTAAAAGAACAGGTATATGTTTTTATTGCATAGATCGATAGCCAATAAAATTTTAGGAGGGTACCTAGGAGCACAATTCGCTATCTAAATTTTAAGTATGTTAAATTTATCTCCAAAAACGAAAAAGGCCAGACCCTGGTGTCGGACGGAGGGTTAAATATAATCGTAATCGAAATCATTAAAGTCACACAAGAAATCCTAAGGGATTTCGAAAAACTATATTAAATCTTTTGTTTCTGTACATTTTTAAATCTATTAAACGAGAAGAGTTTTTTCTTTCTTAATATTAAAATTAAATTTTTTTGGAATGAATTCTAAAAAAAAGTTAAAGCCTTTTATTAAAAACTATTGGCGAAATTTTATGGACGTAATACAAAATTAAAAGAGTTAAAAAAATTCGTTAAAATTTCAATAAAAGAATTTGGACATTACAAAAAATCTAACTAATATTTTTTAACATTTCTTAATATTTATTTTGAATTTTTTTTCTTTAATTTTCTTCGTAATGATGTGTGATCAACATATAGTCATATTGTATGTATTAGAGCTCTGGATACGTGGGTATCGAGCACTGTGAGCAGCTCGATACTCGTTCGTTGCGCACTCAACTGCTCAAATGATAGTTTGAAATTTTTAAAACTTAAATTTTATTTACCAAAATTTCTTTAGTATTTAAATGAGTTTTAAACTTTGCATCAATGCGAATTTAGGGAAGGTGAAGTGGGCACATCATATGATTGCTTTTTCTCTCTTCTATTTCGGCAAATTACAAAAACAAAATACATGTAACTTTTTGTTTTTGTATACTAGCTACCTCGCTTTGCATAAATAAAATTAAAATTATAGCAGAAAGTTCCAGGAAGAAAGCCAAAATTTTTATTCACCTCGATGCTCGAAAATGTTCGAACCAAATCTAAAGCTCTAATATATACATACATATGTATGTATGTATGTACATAATCTCACTATATACTATACTACTATATGTATGTACAAGTATCTCCATCGTGACTTGTTATAAATATTTCATAATCCATTTCATCATTTCCTCTCTTCCAATCTGCAGACCATTGTGTGCAAAGCGAAACGCTGAGGACCGAATTAACCTGTTAAAGCTGTTACGTGAAGGCGCCATATTTTGTTCCGAACGTTATCCGGAAGATGCGGAGGCCATTGATATGGAGATTAGTCGTCAATTGAATATGGATGTAGCGCAAACAACAACAACAGTGACGACTAATACAAATACAACAACAACAATTACAGCGAATACAACAACAGTGAATATCGGTGTGTTAACACCACAGCAGCAACAACAGCAATTACAACAACTACAACTACAACAACAACTACAACAACAACAGCAGCAACAACTACAACAGACTAATAAAACAAACAAGACAATCGAACAAGTGCAAAATGTAGCGGCAGCGGCAGTGGTGGCGGCCGCTCAACGTAGAGCGGCAATGGAGGCGCAAATGACATCGGTGGATGTGGTGACCATTGTGGAGACACATGTCGCAGCGGCAGTAACAGCAACGGCAACAACACAAAATACGCAAAATAATAATCAACAAAAGTTGACAACAGCAGCCAGCAGTAACAACAATAACAAAACAAACGATATTTGACTACCGATTTTTAGTAGCATAACTTGAAATATGGAAAACGTTTACAAAGAGAAGGGTTAAAAGTGCGTAGAAGAGAGAGAGAGAGAGAGAGAGGGAGAGAGAGTTGAAAGTCGAGCGATTGGGAGCAGTTAATAATGGTGTTTTTCGTATTGATAACGGTAAATCAATATAATACGTGTATGTATGTTTGTGAAATTGATAGTTAACGTACGATTTTTGTGTATATGTCGCTCTACACTCTACAACAACAGAAACAAATCAAGAATATAAAAGGAATTATATTAAGACTTTGTGTGATCGCGTAAATATCAGCAAATTGCTGATTTAATGGCGAAAAGATTAGTAAGCGTATATACGTACATACATATTGATGATAAAGTAGTTAAAAAAAAATGAAACAGATTTTAAGAATTTATGCGAAAAATTCGTAACAACCTTTGAACATTTAATTTTTGGACTAGAGGTAAGGTGAAAATGTTAATAATAAGGAAAACTTGGTGGCAAATTAAGTTGGAAATTAGTTAATAACTCACTCTTCTATTAAAATTTACGAAAATAAATTGAATATTATTTAAATGAATCATGCTTGAGTTTTTACTCTCAATACCATTTTTTGTCAGAGATTTTTTTTTGTCTTGTCATAATTGATGGTCACTTGAATTTTATTGTCTGTTTGATTTTAAATATTGATTCAGTTTCTTTTGTTATAAATGTAATGTTAAAATCATACAACGTTTATAATGAAAATTAATAACAGTATTTATTTTTTTTAGTTAGCTTTAAATATGAGTTTTTTTTTTAATCTTAATAATAATAATACATTTTTTATTATAATTCTTTTGTTAATTTCATCACATTAAAATCCCTTAGCCACAAACTTTCATGTTCATCAATTTAGTTGTGCAATAAATAATAATTATTTTTTAAATAAAATATACATATTCATGCACTTAATGAGCATTTTGTAACTTGAACTTATTCATAAAGAGCTCAAAAATCACTAAAAATTATTACTCACAAAGAAAAAATCGCAAAATAATCACTCATAAATCACTAAGCTCTAACATCACTTAAAAATCAGTCAAAAATTACTCACTACTATCACCGCATATAACAAAAAAAAAAAAAATACAAAAAATCTTAGAAGAAGCACTCATTTAGCATAAATCAACCCACACTAGTGTTTTAACGTTAACTGTTTTTACGAAAGGTAAGTAACGCACGCATACGTGTAGTAATGGCGCAAGAGATACTGAAAGTAAATAAAACCAAAGAACAAACGAGAATCATAATGTTAACGTCAAATAAATAACATACAAAACTACATAAATATACATGTGTATGTGAAATGTGTACATTTATGTCAAAGATTTTACAATTTTACAATTACACTCGCATACAAACAGACACATTTACGAATATATCCCGAAGCTTCATACATACATAGTTACAATTAAGATTGACGAATAAAAAAAAACCAAAAACGTATTTAACAGTACATAAATAAGCAAACAACTATACAACCCTGTGGCAAATAGATTATGACTCTTACAAATTAGTATAACATTTAAAATAATTTAATATTAAATATAAATAAATTAAACACAAAGAACATAAAGCGTTAGTTGAAAAGAGACGGCAATAATTACCTACTAAACAGACAAAAACCTTGCATTGGGAAAAAAAATTCTATCAATAATTGTACTCCTATACATACATACATACTTATGCTAAACCTAAGAATTTTCCCAACAAAAAATAAACAACAAAAAAAGAAAAACTCATAAAATATCTACTACTTTTAGTGCAACCATCCTTTGATAGTAAAACATATATTGTGCATATATACATACATATGTATGACGAATTTGTGTGTGAAAAAAATTTGAAAAAGTAAATAATAGTAAATAACCGGAGCCAGTTGTTGAGTCGCGCTTGTTCCTTAAACTTAAGTAAAAAAAGTGTAAGTGAATGAAAACATAACCTAACATAAGTCGGCGTATGAATAACGTTAGATGTCTGTAAACGAAAGTTAACGTAACGTAAAAGTTAAAGGAAAACGTAAAACAGGAATTAAGAAGAAACACAAAATAAACGTAGCTACATATACAAAAAAGAAAAAAATGGTTAAGTAAAGCCTAATTAGAAGAAAGAACAATGCAATTCGTATAAAAAGTCATCGTTGTAATAAAATAAAAGTAGAAAAAAAAAAAAAACAAAACTTCATTCTGATAAGCAAAGCTAAACAAGTCGCAATGAATGCTTTTAGATTAGACGTCTAGAAAATGCCGAAAAATAAATGCCTAAAAATGTTATATAAAAAGAATGTTAGTGAAAAAAGTAAATGTTTGCATAGTTTAGCAAAAAAAAAACAAACAAACACTAACATAACCTACAAACCAAATATATGTAAATGGCAAATGAAGCGCAAAGTCACCCAGATCATACATATATTTTCAGCTTTTGAAAGTTAAGAAAAGGCATAATGAGATTGAAATGTTTCTCTTGTTTCTGTTGTATTTCTTTTTGTTATCTTCAATATTTTTCATTTAACAAGTTATACAATAATTGCTTTGCTAACATGTTCTGCAGTGTAAAACTTCAAAAAAAAAATTAAACAACAAAAAGATTTTTCAAATGATTTTTGTATTTCGACTACTTTTTAAGACATATTCACTTTAGCAACACTAAATAACATAAAATAATAACATCGTCCGACAAAAATCAAAACAGCAGGTTAGGGGTACAAGATTTTACCCGCATGCCTGCCGTAAGAAGCGACTAAAATCCAACAGTTCCCACGACAGTCGGGTCTTCATACCGGAATGACCCGAATTTTTTATCCGGCCAAGGACAAAACATTCTCCAAAAATAACTTGAGGAATATTTTTGCGACTGCAACAACAACAACAACAACAAAAACAACAACAACACAGAAGTCAACTTTTTTTTTACCCAAGCATTTTAGGACAAAAAAATACTCGCCGATTATGAATTTGAGGACAGATTTTCAAAATTCAATAAGGCGAATCCAATATGGCGGTCAAAAAAAAAAAAGTCATACAATTTTGTATAAAACTTATTATACGGGTTTTTTTTGGAGTCGCTGATTATGCATGTGCTGCCAGATTTTTAAAGTTCAAAATGGCGGATCAAATATGACGATTAAAATTTTTTTCACCCCTAAAAACCAACACCGGCATTTTTTTGTTTGGTCCTAGTTTTCGAAAATGTTTGATATTTTCGTGGGTCAAAAATCGTGTCGGGCGGTGGAATAGTTTCAAGAACTACACTACAATCATTGAGCAAGTTTCTATACTACCTTTTCTGCCATGACATTACATAAAATATATTATATTTCCCAAAAGCGTTGGAAAATTAATTAATATAAATGCGAATAAATTTTTCCTTTCCTAAAGACCATTTTGTATATTATGATTTAAATAATTACAACGCATTCTCACATAAGTTAATAGTTCTTTCAGCGCGACCCGGTAGGATTTCATAAAAATATAGTCGAAATTTGCGCCAATCAAGCAGCTATCATTACTTTATTGCTATTAAATTTTATAAATTTAAATGATTTTTAAATTAACACTGCCTTTGGTTATCGATCGTAACTCGTTAGCAAACTGTAATGCCCGCCTAAGTACACAACTAAGCAAATTAACTGGCTGAATAAAAATTTTGGTAGAATTCTATATCACGTGTTCACAGAAAAAAAATTTCGTTTGCTTAATAATAAGCCCATATTATTTATTATTGTTTAATTTGCTATACACATTTATTTACACATTAAGCCTTTCATTTTTGTTCTAATAATAATTTTTTCAATTTATTTGATTTGATTTGATTTGATTTCTCTAGCTCTTGCTCTTCACGACGGAAGTCAGCTGATCGTGACTTGATTTTATGCATACGAGTATGTAGCTCTTAAACTGTGCTACTGATGTGGCTTTGAAACTCTTCCACCTATTTATATTTATTATTACTACAGTGCATTTATAACTTTTGGCTACATTTTGTTTAATTATTGGCATTTATTTTTGATTGCTATTGCCTAGTATTAGCTATTTAAATTTCAATATGTCCTTTAATGGAGAGCAGTAGCTGAAAAAGTTAAAATTTAGCATATTTTCTGTTGTTAGTTGTGCGACAATGATGAAATGGAGCAGATTGAGGTTGGTAAGATTATACGCTGGTTTTGCTAAAATGGCAGAGGGATTGTTGGGATTGGAACGTTAAGTCGTTAAAAACATTTGGAATGTCTGCCCTAGCGTTAAATTTAAAAAGCATTAATATGCAGTTAAATATTTTAAATTAGCTTTTTCTCTACTTAGCCGCAAACCAACGTAACCTCAAATCTAAATTTTTTTTAATAAACCCACAATATACATACTCTTGCATATATTTATTTCATATATGTATAAAGAGTCATTTGATCGTATAAAATTCCACAAGTCCTATACAAATGAATGCAGTCCTTTGTTAGTAGTAGTAAGATTAGCTGATAATCAGGCTTCTTGCTAACTTCCTTCTCCTTAAGCAGCCAGTAAGCTTGCATCTAAATTTTCAGTGGATGATTTCACTTTTATGATAGCTGAAGCAGGTAATTTTAAAGGTCAATCTTCAATTAAAGATGATACCACTGCCGCAATCCTCGATGTTATAAGCTTTTAAAAAGTTTGCGTATGGAACAAGCCTGATAACTAAAAAATCGTGACAACTTATTTGAGGCGAAAGCTTGATGGTCAAGTATTTCAAAAGCATTTCTTAAGTTAAATTGCGAGAAATTTAAATCTAAAGTTATAAAGTTAACGGAGGTAAAACATGAGTTTGTTAGTAAACTAGACAAAGTGAGTTTTCAAACTGTTTCAAAAGCACGCGGGATTTAGTGCTTAGGATTAAATTGAAAGCTCCTTTTGACATTGAAGTCGGAGCCACGCATATAGTTTTCAAGTGATTATGAAGCTTCTTTTCCATTTTATCCACTTGGCTGACCACCTGTCAGCCAAATTAATATGAACCACATGTGCGTATATATGTAGATAGACAAATTTAATTTAGCAGGCCACTAGTTTATGAATCGTGCTCCATTTCAGGCTTCCATCTCCCGTGAGAGTGTGCTATGTTTAATGTTGGATTAATTCGATTTAATAACAGCTGTCAAAATGGTTTATTTGCATACGTTGAGTGCATTAAATGAAATTTAGTTAGAAGCATAACTATTCTATAACTTTCTACATACATATGAATATGAGTAAGAAGCCTGTGAAAATGCAATTTTCTTTTAGTGTCACTTGATTCACTCCGCTGAAAAGCTGTCGAGGTCTCCGCTACAGGTAGTAAATAAATAAACACTATATTTAATTAATAATTCACAAATTTCCTAATCAAAAGTCAACAAAAAAGAATGTAAAGAGGAATGGAAAGAAAGCCAAGCTGTTAAAGCAGCTGGGGGAGGTTTTTAACGAAAGCTCAGCCTACGTTGCCATTAAAATTTTTAGGAATTGAGATATTTATTATTTATTTATATATCTTATATATTTTTGTTGAAAAAAGCAAGAATTGAAATCAAATGACCAACAAACAACACTCAAAAAGCTGCCAACAACAAAAGTGGAATTATTCATAAAACAAAAAAAGAAATTAAAATCATGTTAAAAGAATTAATGTTTATGAAATTAAAAATTATAAATAAAATTGAAAAAAATATTTTGCAATGCATAGTTTTTTTTTTCATAATAATAAAAGCACTTTAGTGTATTTTTTTCATTCTGCCTTTTACGTAAACACTTATAAAAATTTTAAAACTTAGCATAGCACGTTTTTTGAAATTCACTAATAGCTAATTAAAATTTATTAGAATTTAACACATTTTTTGCAATCATAATTTTTTATATATATGTATAAATCATAAGTGCAGACACAATATGTACACGGCAAAAAATGCTGCATGAAAACTTTTTAAAAGCGAAAATATAAAATAAAAACAAAAGTAAGAGAAACAAAAATTAATAAAAAAAACCAACTTAATGCTAAAACGAATTCAACGAATAAGCAAAAATAAATAATAATGAAAATACAAAAAGCGCTGCTTTGCATATATGTATTTACGAAGGGTATAAAATTAATGAGAAACATAAGATTTAGAAAGGAAATATTGAAGAACAGTTAATGAATTATCAGTAAAATCTGAGTAAATAACTGTAAACAACTGCAAAAGTGTGTATTTAATATATAGTAGTATTTAAATATATTTTTTTTTTTACAAATTAAAATATTTCGGGATTATTAATAAAGCTGTTGTATATTTTAAACAAATTTCAGCTGTTTTTTTTTGCAAAATGTTCGGCATTAAAGCCCGTAAACATAATAAATTTTATTTTAATTTATTAAATCGCGTTTAAATATTTTAATAATTTTTTTTCTCAACTTTACCATAAATAATTATGAAAAAGTTTCATTATTTTTTTTATTTTATTTAATGGGATTTTAAAAATATATTAAATTTTCAATAAAAATAAGTTAATTTTTTTTGTAAAAAATAACTAAAAATGGCATAAATATTGATAAGTTTTTGTACTGAGAAATTTCATAAATAAATTTGAATTCATTTTATTTTTTCATTTTTTTTTTTTTTTGCTTTATGCTTTATGCTCGTATTCAACATAATTCATGCGCTTAATATTCAAATATGTTCAGGAGCATTTTTTTCAAAAAAAAAACTGAATATTTTACGTAAGTTTTGTAAAAATTTTCCCTGTTAAAATTCAAAACTCGGATAAACAGTAGTGACTACAAAATATTATTCGAAAGACAGATAAGTTTTATTAATGTTATTAATTTTTATCTTAACTTTATCATAAATAAAAAAATATAAACAATTATATTTATACTTTTTTATGGGACTTAAAATTAATTTAGTTGTTTACTTCATTTTTGTTTTCAATTTAATTAAAACCATTTATAAATTTTGAAATGTTTTTGTTGTGTGAAATTATGAAAATAAATTAGAACTAAATTTTATTTTTTTTATAGCTAAATTATTTAAATTTTATTAGTTTTTATTCTAAATTTACCGTAAAAAAATAATAAAATAATATTAATT